CCCCCCCCCGGCGCAGGGAAGGCCCGCGCGCGCACGCCTGCCCCGGAACCAACTCCCCCCTCCACGCACGCACCTGTCCCGGGGCCAATCCTCCCGTGCAGGAAAGCCTTGCGCGTGCCTGCCCAGAGGGCCGACCACCCCACCCGCGCAGGGAAGCCCCGCAGGCGCTTGTCCCGGCGCCAACCCCCTTCCTGCGCAGGGAAGCCCTGGGGCCAAACCCCCGCCCGCCGCAGTGAGGCTTCTGGGGGGTGGGAGGGAAATGAGGGCGGGGCTGACAAGACGCCTCGCGAGCGACTGGTCGAGGCCTCAAGATCAACCGGTCGATCGCGATCTACTGGTCAGTGACCACGGAATTAGATAATTGGATCTCACAATCAAGTTTAAACCTAGGTTGCACACAAAAAAAAAAATTGCAGATTATATATACACACAAGGCGCTATAAGTCACCCCAGTATACATCGGTTCACACTGAAGTCATCATTGAGTCTTGTAGAAACTGATGCATTATTAAGTCCTTCCATTTCCCCACTCTTAAGTCACGAGAAAAAAAATGTGCACAAATGGAAGTCAACAGTTATTTTGCTGTAAATCCAATTTTTTTGGAACATATCTTGGATTTATAGTGAGGACAGCCTGTACATGATAAGCAACTATATGATTTCCTAAGATTAACTGAACCTGGCAGCACTATTAGAACTTCCAGAAGTCACCCTCCTCCACTGTGAAAAACCCCTAAAAGAAATGTCAACATATAAACATTTAATTTTTGCACGGATACACTGCTGCTAGTCTGTCTAACAGACAAAAGTGCAAATCAGAACTTCAAACTTGGAAAGTGTTCTGATTGAAGTCAGATTCTGGATGCAGGATACATCACTATAGCTCTGCATACAGTTTACAGATCAGATTCCTTGGGAACCACAATACCCAGAATTCCTCATTGCCAAAAAGATATTATTGGATCCTGGGCATGTCTTAAAAGAGGCTAGCACACACTTCAAGACCAGTGGCAGTAATCTGCCCTTTTTTCGGGGAGGGGGGGGGTATTCTTTAAAATCAGTCTGTTCTGAGATTCGGTTTTTACTAACTGAGTATCAGAAGAAAGGAGCACATATAAACTCAAGGACAAACTTATCCTGAGAGCATGTCTGGATTGGCAAGAGCTCTGACAGCTGTTCTTGGTCTAGCTGGGTAAACACAGAAGTCATATTTTGACAAGAAGTTCCCAGAAATCAAAAGGCCCTGACTAGAAAGTTTCCTCACATAGATTTTGTTTTAAATAAACATTTACAGCCTAATTCTATTAACACAGTCTACAATAGAAACTTCTACTATGACAAAATACAGGCAGTCCCCGACTTACGTGGATCCGACTTACATCGGATCCCTAGATACGAACGGGATGAGGCAACTCCCGCACATGCGCAGCAGCATTCCCGGGGCTCGCTCACCTGGGTCCTAGGATCCTCCTCCTCCTCGGGCCGGCTCCGACTGGGGTCCCGCAGAGCTGCCGGGCAGAGGAAAAGTGCCTCCCCACGCCCGCTGC